AAGATTTTGTAAGGATATCCCCTAAATCCATTCGAAGAAAAAAATTCCACAAATATTTGTATTATGGATTCACCTCAAATACTAAACATCAACTTAAAATTTTCATCACTCACTTCGCTCTTAAGGCTGTCCTGGTATTTCATTTTTGGTTTTCGAAACCAGTTTACTGCATTCTGTCGTGTTCGTACCAGCACAAGTGACGCCAAACTTTCATGCCCCCCAAAGAGAGGAGACCAATTTGGAAATCGTCAGTAAAATTTATGGAATATTATGCGATCGGAGAATAAAATCCCGCGAAGTAGCTGAAGCTATAGGCATCTCAACTAAGCGTACACCTCACATTTTACGTGAATATTTGGACATGAAAACCATATCCGCTCGATGGGTGTCACGATTGTTCACACTCGACCATAAGGGCAGCCGTTGCGACGACTTCAAAGGTGTATTCGGCGACGGTAAAATTGAAATCGGACTAGTTTTTTGTCGTTTCAGATAAAAACTCCGAGGAACGATTGAAGCAATTGATTGATCCTGGTTAGTTTGCTCCAAAAAGAGCTAAGGTGGGTCTATTCGCTAGCAAGGCTATAAAGATAGGTTTTTGGAAAGCACTTGATTACCTTCAGATTACAGGAAAATGTTATTCGAAGCTGTGATTTTCCACCAATAACATGATTTAACTAGCTCACGACCGGCTACCTTATTCAACATACTCTTCAGATTTAGCTCAAATTTAGCTTCTCCTCCTGTTGTCAAATCTGAAGAAGTGATATGACGGTAAGGGATTAACGTCAAATGAAGGGGTCATTACTGAATACAACACATATTTTGAGAACCTTGAGAAAAAATTTATTTGGAAGAAATTTAACAACTGAAAAGCAGCTGTGCTAAATATTTAGAAATAAAAGAAAGTTATACATATTGGAAAGTAAAATATTTTTTATTTTTTGCTAAAAAAAATATCTATTATTTAAAAAATCACTGCATAATGTAAATTTGATTCTGCCAAAGGCATATTTTTGTAGTTTGCTATCGATTCCTTCCTCTGTGTCTTCATTCAAAAGCAGTCAGATGTATTCAAGAGTTAAAAAGATTGCATTTGGCATTGTTTTTTGTTATTATCATATTTAAGAAATTAATCTTGATTCGTCAGTCAGTAAATACAAAGTGGCTTTCACAAATGGGAATTCACCTTTTCGAAAGCTGGCAATGGCTGTATTACAAGTTAAATATTTTCACTCATCCAGAGCAGCTAGAAATGAAAGAACATCCATTTTGCGCGTACATTTCAAGCGAGTCTTCAAGATCATACCAAAAATTGCACTACAATAGACTAAAAATTGTTATTTTCATATTTTTTTCGTTTGTTTTAATTGATTGCTGCTTTGGAAATCGTATCAACAGATCGACCGAAAACTTTTTCAATACTCTTAGCATTTCACACACTTTGTTTTAACCGTCCGTTGTGTGAAAGTTTTTTTTTCCTTCGTTGTGTGAAATGCCCTGACTAGGCCACCGAGAAAACGCTATTATTTAGGCGTATGTAGGGTAAAGGATAATGAGGAAATTGTGTCTATAAACATTTTTAAATGTAGTATAAACCAGAAAGATAAGAAAACAAGGAGAGAACAGAAAAAAGTAATTGATTCATCTTCAAAAAATTGCCCAAATTTTAATTTTTTTTTAAATTTTTTTACTAATTACTGTGAAAAATTCATATATGAAACTTAAAATATAAAATCTGTTTATGTAGTTAATGGTCCTGCGGCTAGACAGACGTTGCAAATGTAGGTTTTGGTTTCCACACCGTGGATGTCTTGTAAGAGGAACATGTTGCTCACTTTCTCCATACAAAAAATAATTGTCGCAATTACTTTGTATGAAAGAACCTGTGTAAAAAAAATGCCAAAAATTAACGCGATTTTCTAGCAACTTCAAACTGGCACTTTGTTATACTAAAATTTACAGGGCTATAAAACTGCGTACTTAGAATTTTTCTGAAAAATTTGAAAGTTCAAATTAGTGGCAACAATGATAACCCACATAGGGCCATTTACCATAGCATATGCAGTTTTTTGTAAAACCGATTTTTTTCCTTATCCGTTGTAGAATTCACATACTCTATAGTTCATCGACGGGTATGGTATATTGTCGCCGATTATAAAAGACTTAAGGAAGAAAGAAGATATACACCTTTGAAAATCGAAATCCCCTCCGTAGGCCACGTCACACAACGGAGTGTTAAACAAAATGCTTGCGAAAACGGTACCCGCATATGTAGTCATGTGAAAAATAATAAGAACACGACATTTTGACCACTTTTGTTAATTTTTCTTTTGTTTTTCGGTTTTGTATTTAACGTTACTTTTATATGAGAATTGAAGTGAATGAGTGAATTGTTTTATAAAAATGCAGCTCAATATCTAAAAAAAACTATATAAGTCCAAATTTCAAATTTTTAGAAAAATTCAACAAATTTTTACAACAATAAACTTTTTATTATTTTCGTTCTTTAAAAAAATTGTAGAACATGGAATGGAATGGAATTGTGGGTGGTCGGAAATACCAAAATTAAATTTTTCCCATTGTACTTAAGGCCGAGATACAGGATTTAGAGAAAAGGGATATATATGTAGGTGAGGGTGAGAATTCATTGCTGCTCTGAAAACTTACCAGGCTCCTTTATGAATTTTAACAGTTTGTTTATTCATCTTATGCTACATTATTCATAGTACTACGATATGTTGGTGGGGAAAGAAGAGAATGTACCTCGTCCGTTCTCAGTACATCTGGCCCAAAAATGTACCCTCTGAGTCTGGCAAAGGCCGGTCAGCGGCAGAGAAAATATTCTGTACTATCCTCACGTTCCAAACAAGATGTACAGAGTAGATTATGCCAATGTTTGACCATTTGTCAGTCCTATTTGAATTTTGAATTTTTCTAATTTTTCTACAAAGTTTGAAATTTGCAACCTTTTTGTTGTTGTTACTTAACAAGCTGCATTTTTATAAAAAAAAAATAAAAGTAAAATAATTGAAACTGGTCAAAATGTCGTGTCCCTATTATTTTCCTCATGTCTGTATATCGCCATGCTCACGCGGCATTTCATGTATATATGTATGTAAGTTTCACATGCATACACTTACTTAAATATTTGTGTATGTTGATCAGCGTTTGTTTACCGTTCACACTTCGTCTGTTACCACCTGCTCAGCCGTGGGTCAGAAATTTTAAATACATTTGGCTTAGAGCTACTTATTTATGTCTGTGTTCCTTCCTGAGTGGTGTGTCTACTAGCCGAAGGCGTTAAGATTTGTGATTTAATTTATAATGATGATGACTTTGCTGATGGATCGTCGATGATGAAGTTGTAGAAACAAGAAACAAATACATACATATTCATTTATGTGGGCTTGTATATTGCAAAGTCATTGGCTTATCGTTACGCGCTTTGGCCTTGTTTAACATTAAGTGGGATAAAGTCGAGATTTTGCTACCCAAATATTAAATTATTTATTTATGCGTCTATGTTGAACAAGAGCTGCTTGAAACACTTTTCATTGACTTCTTCACAACTTGAGTCACACTTAAGTATTTGTGACTTTTCGCTTTTACTTGCTGTTTAATTTAAATTTTTATTGGATATTTTTTTTCGTTTTCTTCCACCACACTCATTTCTGTGGTTATTATTCACTCACTTTCACGATGGAATTTTGAATACCAAAATATTTTAAAAACGTTAAGGTCATTAACACGCCTCAAGCGTTTTCAGCGCTCGTCGTGCCGGCTGACAGTGAGATTTTTATGCAGATTGCTCGGCAGCGCACCAGTCCATCGGCAGAATGTAGAAATTTATTGCTTATAACGAGAGATTTCACTTTGATATTAAATGGTAAATCTTACTGATATCTCCTCTTCCGCTCGTAATAATGTTGGGTTTGGTTTTTGTTTTCACCCGCTTGTCTGGTTTCACGCAAATTCTTGTAGAATCTAATTGCGGCAGTAATTTTTGATACAATTGCGGGTGTAATTGGTACTATTTACTTACACTTATGTACTTTCACATTTATTGACATTGCTTCTATGCTGACCATGAATCGAAATGTATATATGTACATTAGGGTGGTCAAAAATACATAGGAAAACCATCTTTTCTGATTTTCCCTGCTGCCACCCACCAGAACTGAAGAATATCAAAAATAAGGAGACACGTTTTTTTTTATGTTGAAAAATAGGTTTGCCAGATATTTGAGAGTTTTTAAAGGTTAATAAAACAAGTTAAGGTAAGTTTCTTCATCAAAACTAAAAGAGTTTGAAGAAAGTTAAGAAATTTTTTACGGGGTTGTCACCGTTTTAAAAAATATAACTACGGTTATTAAAAATTTAAGCTTATTTAATGTCACATGTAAAATAAACGAGAAAAAATTTTTGTACCACCCTAATGTACACACTTTATACATATGTATGTATGTATGTACCACATATCTTTGTACCTACAATATATGTATGTATGTAATGCGAGTTAATGTATGTGTATTGGCCCAATTCGTGACGATTTAGGTCAATTTACACATTTCGCTTGATTCACTCTTTACTATGCTTTCCGCATTTGGGTTTGACTAACTTTGATTATCGAAATTTTGCTTTCGGCAGTATACTCCATGATTGTCGCCGTAAATGTGCAAATCAAAATCGAGAATCCAAGAATTATACGCTTCTGATTTTATTGCTTGGCATTCGAATGGGCATTTTAATCGGTTTACATAGACATGCCTATGTATGCATAAACGTACATTTGTACACACATATGTGTTCACCGAAGTTTTACAGCTTCAGCGAAAGTGGATCGCAGGTTAAAAGCAGTGTGCTCCCCTGCTTCCATTATCTTTTCTAAAAGTGAGAGTTTTAATTGTTGGTGCAAAAATGTTTCAACTGCAGTCAAGCAATTTTAGGGCTAAAAAGCGATTAAAATGTATGATTACAAGGGTTAAGAAATAATTATATTATTGTATTTGCCCAATGACTTTTTCCATAAGATTTGCTCCTCTTTTATTTTGATGACGATCAAAGGAAACCTTTAAGGATATAAATATAAGG